GAGTAAGGGAAAGGGACGCTGCGTGCCAGTCCTTCATCTTACGTTACTGATTAGCTGTTAAACAGATTATACACAGCTGAATGGGTTCAAATGTTGCTGCAGAAAACAGTCGGAGTTCAATGCAATGCGGTTTCCTTCCCTGCCACTTCAGCGGGATGAACACACTTTGTCACCACTAACAGCTCCATAATGAAACATGTAGCTGTTTAATTTTTACCACTTTAACCACAGTCGTTTAAAAAAATAAAAGCAAAAAATCGAGAGCAACTGGAAATGCAGGTTGAGTTCTTCGTATGAAGCTGTACCAAAATATAGATATCAATACATTTTATACAGACTATGAACAAAATTCATATTAAGCTGAATTCCCAATGTTAATTCAAAGGTAATACCTTTGCCAATTCATACACAAAATTACTCATATTTCGATATCAGCAGTCTATTTTCCTCCAATGTATTGAGGAAACAGCTGCACACTAAATAAAAAACGCCACCAAACGCCTTGAAGTACTGAAATATGAAGATAAAGGTGCATTGAACTATTAAATACTTGTTTTTGAAAAACATCCTCTTGAAAATAGCCTCCCCTCAGCCAACAATGACCCAGTTCTCTACATTCACAAGCGAGGCTGGAAGCCTGGAGCAGCAGGCGTTTTTCTTTTAAAAATGAGTAAACGTACACGTTTTACATGTACCAAAGTGTTAAAAAGTGTATAAACTATTTTGTTAAAGTTTGTATGTTAACATGTTAGATTTAGTATAAACATTTACTAAGCTGGATAAGTTTAAAGTAGTTGAATGTGCAGTGCCACAGCAAGCCACGCGGGTCCAAAGGAGCTCTCATTGAGAAGCCACGTGTCCGTTTCCAAAGCCTCTCCAACTTAACCACCTCCTTTGTACGACTAACCCACATCGGCAGCGTCCCTCCACATAAAGGGATTTGCAATTTCAAGATATTTCAGCTTAAATGTTTTTGACAGTTCCCTCGCTTTTACTTCGGCTTGGTTATTTTAACTGTGCCAAATGGGTCACCTTGGGTTGCTGTCTGCGCGCAAAGGGCTTTTGCGCGCATTCAGTCTGAATTTTTTCCAACTTTCCTTGACGGGGAAACCAGCTGCTGGTCGTGAAAAGACGGCTTATTAATTGTCCTTTGTCATGCAGAATTGCTTGATTTCTAAAGAAACGTACAAAGGCTCTTTTTCAGGATTCAAGTATTTTGTTTCGTGCGTATTTTCAAACCATCGAATCAGCTGCAGCGCCGCGCCGTCTACCAGACTCTCAGGTACTGACTGCCTGCTCCCTTTGTCCCCTTTTAATGCTGTTGTAAATCGTGCAGACTGATTTGTTACAAGCTGTTCTTTTAATCTGATAGATAAGAGACATGTCAAAGAAAAGCCGTAAATAAAAAATTAGCCAGAATAAAGACAAGGGCGAGTCTGCTAGATGGGCGCCTGTTGACTCAAGCGGCTCTCCAGCGTCAGGGGAGCCCTCTCCTCAGCTCCGTCAAGGTTACGTCCACAATTCCCTTTTCTTCTTTTTAAAAAGACACCGTAGTCCTTTTTGCTTCAATGAATTGATCGGCACAAAATTAAGAATAAATAAATTGAGCATTTGGAGCACCGAGCGTATAAGCTCCCCCAGGGCGCATACCCCCGGGCTATTGAATGGATAAAGGGCGCTTTGCAGAGGACGTTGTGAGCAAAATGGGGCTCTATGGTGCAATTAACAAAATAGTCTAATCCCATATCTTAACAAATGCAAATATTTGAGTTTTGTTAAAATGGTTAAGTGAACAATTAAATGAAAGTTTACAAGTGAAAATTCACATCCAAAAAGGCACACTGATGCAGATAATGTGCTGTACGCCATTTAAGAGTTTTTACTCCCTTTATAAAAGTATAGAGATACGTTCCCAGTAAAGCAAATATATATTAAAGCCTATTCAACATAGTAAATATAATTTTGAGAACCAAAGCTTCAGTCAGAGAGCAGCTGTAGCGGTGCGTAAAATAGGCGAACAAAACTGGAACAACTCCTGGTTTGGTCTTTATGGAGATGTTTTGGTGATCAGATGACATATTTTTTTTAACTTGAAATAATAACAAATACATATTTACTCTTTTTAGACCTATTTTGCCAGAATAGCCAACAGCAGTATTTTGCCTTCAAGACTGAATTTATGTTTGAGGATGCTGCGTATTATTTTACTTGGCACATTATTTCATTTTGTGGATTTAGTGATTTGCCATTGAAATAACATTATATACTACCAACGATTATGTTTTTGTTTTATTTAAACATGATGTTGGTTGAGCCGAAGAGGCTTATATTAACTCTTAATATAACACACCTGGAGCTCATAAAACCGACAATAAACTGGACCACACTGGTGCGTAAGAACAATAAGAATAATGTGGGTCATGGACACCAAACTGTCTTTTCCTCATTCATTTTCATGTTAGATCTATATCTTAAGATATGCAAACTCCTGATGCACTATTATACACCCACGGTGATTATTAACTCAGTCACACGAGAGGGATCATTTCAGCTGGGACTAAACTTGAAAGAAGCTCCAAAGGGCCAGGCAGTGATATTTGCGTTGAGTGTCCCCCAGGGAAAGCATATAAAAGGACCCCATAACAACGTCTTTATCACCTCTTAGTGATAAAGATTATTGAGCATTTGATTTACTCCTTCAGGGTGGAGTTCAGCTCATGTTGCCTAATGAGCTTCTTCTAGATACACAAGTACACTTTGCTTGTCCGTAGTGCAAGCTGGGAATACTTTTGTCCTCCCCAATTTATGTTTGGCTCGCTGAGAAGACATTTTGAACATTGTCAATCACCGTCTTAGTCGTCTTCTCGTACACCAAACACCCCTCACGCACATTAG